GTGTGTGTGTGTGTGTGTGTGTGTGTGTGTGTGTGTGTGTGTGTGTATGTGAGTGTGTGTGTCTATGAGATGGACTGTTCTGGCCGTTAGGTGAAACCTATGGATGCCTTCTCAGAATAAAGTCTTTAAATGCATAAAATAAAATACATAGACTTGCAAAGGAAACTAATTATATTAAAATGCAGTTATTAAAATATTTTTAAAACAAATATATAGACCTCTGGGGATCCTTTATCAAATGATAGTAAAAACTTTTATATAGCATTTATAGGTACACAGTATATACTTAATGATTATGAAGCACTTTCACATGTCATCTCTCACTTGATTCTCACAAAAAACCCTGTGAGGTAGGTAGAGTGCTAGTTATTATTATCCTCAGGATGCTAAGCTCCTGCTTACATAACCTCTTTTTTTTTTTTTCTTGCCTTGAAACCTGTGGGAAAATCTTATTGAATTTGTAGAAATGTGTTTTATGGCCAACTTTTTAATGAATATATCAGTTCTGTGGTGGCTAGAGGGCCGACTCGAGAAAAGCATCTGCTCGAGTCCTGCACTTGGCCCCAGCTAGCTCTGTGACTGTGCACAAGGCCCTAAAGCTCTCAGTGTCCTAGGCATCTGTCAGAGACAAGGAGAGACAGGCAAGTTTCTGGTTTGCATTGGTAAGTAATTTCTATAATGGCAACTCCCTGCTTGAATGAAATACAGGTCTGGATAGCATCCCCCTACCTAAAAAAATTACATTAGTCAAGTCATGACCATTATTCATTTATTTATTTATTTATTTTGATTCCTAAGGCTATAAGATTTTACTTGTCACTTATGACTTTCACTTGGACCAGCTTGGTTAGATTATTATGTTTTTTAAATTCTAACTCCTTTTGGCTTGGTGTCATCCAGGCAGCTAGTTATTACAGTGCATAGAGCACTGGGCCAAGAGTCAGAAAAAGTTGAGTTCAAATCCAACCTCCAACACTGAATAGCTGTGTGACCTCAGGCAAGTTATGTAACCTCTTTTTGCCTCAGTTTTTTTTAAAATTGTAAAACGGGGATAATAATAGTACCTACCTCACAGAGTTGTTGTAAGGGTCAACGGAGATAATATTTGTAAAGTGCTTAGCACAGTGCGTGGCACATAGTAGGTGCTTCATAAATGCGTGTTCCCTTCTGGTTGTCATCCTCAAACAGACATCAAGCCCACAGACCTCTAACATGCCATTTGTCCTTTGCTTCCAAACAGCACCTTTAAACATAAATTTGTCCATTCATCATCTTCATAATTTCAATAGATAGATAGATGGATAGCACATTACATTTTCAAAGTGCTTTCATAGAAAAAAAATTATTGAAAAAAATGAAATGAAAATGTTGGGTAGATAGTAGTCCATTTTACAGATGAGGACACTGATTTGCCAAAGATCATTCTGTGGCAGAGTTGGAATTCAAAGCTAGGTCTTCTAAGTCCAGTGTTCTTTGTACTATACCTCGCTGCCTCATACAGATCAAATCATTCTGTGAAATTATTTCTGTAATTTCCATAGGAAAAACCACAAGCCTCCTTTCTAATGAAAACAATTTAATATAATTTTAAACTTCCCATACCTATAATTTTCTTTTCTTTATTTTTGGTCTCTCTCTAACTACTTATTAGAAGTATGTAATTTCTATTAATTCCTCTGTAGCACATTGCAATTATTCACATTCATCATTTACCATTACTATTTTATTTTAAATCTGTGATTGAAGAAAAGATACATCAATAGGAAGAAACATTTGTTGGTATGTGTATATTTTTTATTGCACCAAATACTATGTTTTAGCTAGAGTATAGATACACTATGATTTGTTTAATAATAAGCTGAAAATATTTTTCTTCTAGATTGTAAAAGTTTTGAATTTGTATACTCCAGTTAATGAATTTGAAGAAAGAGTCTCCGTATCATTTATACGTACTATACAGGTAAGGTGCTGGGTTTCATTTCCTCCATTGCTTGATTGGCTTACTGATTTATTCTTTTAAATGGTTTTTGAATGAATATTTAACATTTTAATTGAAAAGAATTTCATTTCCCTCTATTCTCTTTGTTTTGATTTTCATTGAATTTTGCGTATCACCATTTGTTGGTGATTTTTTTTAAAACTTGCAGATATCTAGAGAAATGAACTGATTTTTAAAACTTGAAGACAACTATATAATAAGATAAAAATTGGTACTTTTGCAAGTCATTTTGTTAATCTTTTAATCAAATAAGCCTTTGTAGCTCCATGACCTGTTTCTTATCTTTTCATTTTTCTAGATGCGTTTACGAGACAGGAAGGATTCGCCTCAGCTGCTCATGGATGCAAAGCATATCTTCCCTGTTACCTTCCCTTTTAACCCATCCTCACTTGCATTAGAAACCATTCAGATCCCAACCAGCCTGGGGCTGGGCTTCATCGCAAGAGTCTGAACCAGGACACATTCACAGGCAGATGCTGCTGACAATAGTTTCTTGCTTGAAATAAGGACCCATTATTTCCAGTGAGCTATTGAAAACACATTTTTTTAAAAAGAAAAAATCCTGCATATTTCCCAAACTATAGGTGGATAACTGGAAATCTCTTTAGAATACCTGGACTGCCCTGGATAGAAAAGCATGTTCTAATATGACCCATCGCTTTCAGAGAGACATTTCCATATCTGACCTTTTAGGCATCCAGAGCTGGAATACAGGTGGATGGTGAAAAAGAAACAGAGAGTCGTCAGCTGCCGGAATCCATTTTAAATCCTCAGCACCTCATTTAAATAGCATAAACTAACATGTATTCTATAGGTGAGTTGTTGATAGACAGAGAGTGAAGAGGCCCACCTCCAGGCTAGATGGAAGACCTGAAAGAAAAAGAAACCGTAGTTAAATACGTAGTAACTTAGGCATCAATTATGTTTATAACTTGTCAGACTGGAATGGAGAAATAAACTGGCAATCTATAAAGTAATTTTTCAAATAACTTCCTTATTTGTGATCATGTCACTATAATATAAAGTGTGAGGTGTCAAGAGATTTCTTGGCTTTACTGTATAGCATAGGTATTCATCGGTTTGTACCATAGTTTACCAGGCATTTTAAACTGTTGCTGCTTATGGTGTTCTTTTAAATGTAAACAGTATTCTTCTTAGGCACTACAGTAATAATATTCTCATTTATCAACTTTGTTTACAATCCAATACAGTCCATTTTTCTAACTGGATCATATGCAATTGTCAACAAATATCAGCTCACAAGAAAATGGTAACCAAGCACAAGTAGCACACTGGAAGTAACAGGATAATTTTTGTTTAAGGAGTCTTATTAAACTATTTGATGTGTAGAGGGTAGGATTAACAAAATGATTTGTCTTATTTATTCAGAATTTTGTTGTGTGTGTGTGTGTGTATATATATACGCATATGTACTTATGTGTATAAATATATATAATGTTTTTGCTGGGTTGATATCATTTAGGTCTTCTGTAAAGTGTCTGGTTTTAGTTGTTGAATGAGATACCTACAGTGCATGTTTTTAACATTAGATTGAGTTTCTTTGGTTCATTTCTCCAACATGTAATCTCAGTCAGGTATATAGAAAAGAAGGTTGGAATGTAATTATGATCTAGATTTGCATGATTGTCTTGAGACAGTTTACAAATAAGAAAATGTACAATAAATATTTAATTCCTCTCAACCTTCTGCAACTATAGCATCTGCTCTTAGGTATCCCTGGATACTTGAGGAGGCATCATGCTTGGAAGTTGGATGTTATTAAGTTTTGCAAAGGATTTTGTTCACAAGTACCAAAATCTATAAGGAAAAGTTTAATGCTGTAATTCTAGTTGGGATCCTCTCCAGATCACTTCTCAGATCATTTAGTAAAGTTAAATTCTCATTTTGAGATGTACAAAACCAAATCTTTAGGATTTTACCACAAGCTCTAGTCTCAAGTAGTGTTTTGTGGTCAGATGTCATAATTGTTAGATTATCTTGTAAGATTACCTATATTGTTGAAGTATAATGTGAAATATTATGATTAGAAAATGAACATTTTCAATTTAATGACAAAGTTTATCATGAAAAGAAAAATACTGTATTGTAGTTATGTAATCTTCCAGGCTTTAGCCTCCTTATCTATAAACTGAGGGAGTTGGTCTAGATCAAGGGCCTTGATATTTGTCTGTATGATGAGAAACCCACAAGTGTATCAGCCATATGAAGTCCTTACAATTAAAATTACTAGTTGACCCCATCGTTCTGGCATAATACATGGCTGCCATCAGTTATAAAATGGTAGGAGCAGACAGGTGATTCAACCCTACCTACTATTTTTATAAATTAAAAATAATGTGGGACTGAAAATCTCAACTGGGCCCCTGGAATGGGCTCAGGCAGGCCACTAGTTGGATGTCTCATCTCTAGATGATGTTTAAGATCTCTTCCAGATTAAAAAAAAATTTCTCTGACACTTTTATAATGGAAGTTTGAAATTTAACTTATGAAGTCAGTTTGCCATCTGCTGGACAGACCAGTCTGCATCGATTTTTAAATGGGTTTTGAAATTGAGGCTACAGTCTTCATCAGGAATTAGAGCAGAGAGATTGTAAGGAAGCTGACTTGATGTCAACAAGAATTTAGATAAACACTTGCTTGAAGACATGCTATGGTATAGAGAGAATCTTCTTAAAGACAATACCCAAAGCCATTTACATAAAGACATATGTACAGTCCCAAGACTGTATGATTCCATGACCCAAGGCTCCAGGGTGGCTAGCAATACATCAGGAGCTATCGGTACCCTTTGAAAAGGCACATTTTTTTCCCCAGCACTTCACCTGACTCCATGTTCTCGGCTAACTTAATTTGGGTACTTTATAAAAATATGTCACTCGTCTTCAATTTGGGTGGTTGTAAGTGCAAAACAAATTTAAAACACTTCTTCGGTTAGATTATCACTATGATTCCTTCACTGTTAATTTATCTTTGAAAACTACATGACATATCTTCAAGCAAATCTTCTCCTGTGTATTATCACTTAATTACATCCTTTGATACTACTCCTCTCATATTTTCAGTCCAGTATGAAGCCTGTTAGTTCAATAGTAGCTATAAGGGAAGACCTTTTGAACTAAAAAAAATTCATTGTCTTCCCCATCTCAAGAATGATGTGTGATATAAAGCTGGAAAATCAGAGAAAAAGTACATGCAGCTGTGCTTTAAATCTGGGAGGTGATGCTGCCCATTACCCAGCACACAGGGGGGAAATATGGGGCTATGATATGAATGCTTAGCAATTTTTCCAACTCTTCTTGGATAAAGTCTTACAGTTATTTATTATTTTTTTAAAATTCTAAAAACACTAAAATACCCACATTCAAAGTTAAAGGTACAGACCTAAGTGTAAATAGTTCACAAATTATTTGCCATTTGGTGATTCATTATTTTACTTCATTATGGTGAATATTTGAGAGTTGGCTATAGGTCAAATTATTTTACTGCAAACTCTGGGGAATGGGGCATAAAAATGCTTTGTTGTCCTGGAATTTTCTTATGATCATTATAGCTAGATATCTCATTCCCAGTGCCCAGGACCACTGGCTTCTCATTGCCACAGGGATCAAAAAGGAATTTTCTTATAAATTACTGTAACTTTCCTCTCCCAGGCTCTCAGATCTCTAGGCCAAAGATATTGACTGAAGTCCTTCTCAGATGTTTCAGTAGTGACATGTTCACTTTTCCTCTCATTGCCTGCCTATCAGCTGATGATCCTTAGAGTGGCTTGAACTGTCATGGAGGAAAGCAGGAGACAAATTCAGACTTGTTAAAGAGTGATTCCTCTCAAAATTCCCCAGGTGAGAGAAATAGAAAAGTAAGATACATATTTGTAAAATACTTTATAGTTTTCAAAAAAAAATTTCACATGAAATTTGATCCTCACCATGATGCTGTCAATGAGCTGAAGAAAGGCAGTGGAGTGATTTACTACTTAAGGTCACACACAGTCGAGGACAGAATCAGGATGAAAAACCCAGGTCTTTAGATTCCTAGTCCAGTTTGTTTTACACTAAACCATAAGTAAGCAGTAGGGTAAGAGAAAAATTAGGAAATCTATTCACTGGGGATTTTGAATAGGTTTCTATTATGATCTCTCTTAATTCAGTAAGCATTTATTAAGTGCCCACTATGAGCCAGGAACTATGCTAAGTGCTGGGGATAAAAGGCAAAAATGGTGGCATCCCTGTTCTCAAGGAGCTTACATTTTACCCAATGATAAAATATTTACTCAGATGCAGATAAGTAAACACAAGGTAATTGATAGGGGAATGGGGACCACCAATAACTGGGGATGGGGAGAAAATCAAGAAAGGCCTTCTCTAGGAGACAGCACTTGAGCTAGGCCTTGAAGACTGCTAGAATTTCAAGAGAGGTGAGAAGAGAGCATTTTAGGCAATGAGGTGGGGGATAGGGAAGGAAACTCCCTGTACCAAGGCTAATTGTCTCACACAATCAGCTATTAGGTTTTTTTTCCTATTATGGTAATGAAAACTGGAAGAAAGAAAGCATGTGTTAAATGCTTTATATGAATGATATATGAATGATTTGTTAGAATGAGCTTAAAGTTCTTCTTGGCTAGTTGTATTTTTGTTAGAGTAGCAGCTATTATATGGATAAATATTGTAATAGAATTTGACTTGTGTGATAATTTAATGCTCCATGTAAACACTCAGCTTCATCTTGTGCAAAACAATCATGTATTAAGCAGTAATTAGCTACAGAGAGAACCAGCACCAAAAATGCCCCTTGATTGAAGGCTGGTTAGAGGGAAAGCAGTCCATTTCTCGAATACCAATTCAAAACCTTCCAATGTACATTTGCAGTGGTCTTAGAATAATGCTGGGTCTTGGCTAATAGGGTCCAGTAAGGCTCCTACAATAGCTATCATCAGTTACAGGGGCTCAGAGGAAAGTGGTAGACCACAGAGGCAGCATAAGAAGAATAGCCAATGGTCAGAGTATGAATACACATCTAATTAGAGGTACTAGCATCTAGGGAGTCAATGCTGCATTTCTTTGGGTAGTAACTTCTGATGGGGGTGAAAGTATGTCTAAGCATGAGTGTGCATAAGAGAACTACATATATCTATCTGGCTACATATTTATGTAGGGTAGGGTTGTGGATATGCATAATCTATTAGGTTGGGCTATGGAGCCTACTTCTGCTATTTTCCCTTACAGAGCTTCCTTAAATTCTCTACTACTGTTTCTCTATGAGGATGGCCCTGTCAAGGGAAGTTATTGAGGCCTTTTTCTCATTTGTGTGTGTATGTATGTATGTGTTATGTGTGTATGTTTTCTTTGTTTGAGGAAGCCTGTGTGGCTTCTTAATATCCTGCCAGTTTTCCCTTCCTTCCTTTTTCCTTTCCCCCTGCCTCCATCCTTACTGACATCTTCTGTAGACTATGAACAAGAGCATCAATCATGGTAGAGAAGCAATCTGAGCCAATGAAGTATCAGCTCAAAGATGGTACCTCAACCAGTCGATGAACACATTAGAGAAGTACAGAGATAGGACAAAGACTCTTGATTGTAGTTAAAATTTTCATCTACCAGTAAGCATCACATCATGAAGGTTAAGTATAAAATGATTTTAAACCCTCAATGTGTATTATTATTTATTTATTTTTTTAAACCCTCATCTGTCAGTTGACTAAAAGCAGATAATAGTGCTGGAAAGGATATTTTTCACCCATTATTATGATATCTAAATTTTTTAACTTAAAATTACGATCTTGTAGGTCAAGAACTGAGAAATGCTGAATGAAAATATCTGCCAAAATATATTTTTGTGATTTCTAAATGTTTGTTGTGTAATTTTCACACATATGAAAATTGTGGTTTAACTTTGTAGGTGTCATTGTTGAACTCCAAGATTAACTGTCATTTCTTTTATATCATATTGTGTTGCTTGGTATATTTTGAAGAACAATGTTTTTAAGTTGAAATTTGTGTATTTTATAATTTATATAATGCTTGGCAGGTCAGTATTTTTACATGCATTTTTCAGAGGCAAGAATTTCTAAAAATGAATTAGAAATTACCACTATGTAACTTTAGCACTAAATTTTAGCTCTGTTTAATATTCAAAATATTTACTTATTTTCTTGAAAGATAAATGTTCTCACATGATGTAGACATGTATCAGATGTCATAACATGTGTCTACTGGTAAAGTTGTTTTTGTTAGAATACTGAGAGAATATTTAATTGTAGATTTCCCCCTTAAAATTTATAGTGGCTCAAAATGCATTGCACAAAAAATTAGTTGATTGAATTTAACTTATGCTCCAGTGGCTCTTTTAACAGCTGTTTTACAGACATTGTTCTGTTTCATCAAAGATTCTACCTTATGGAATTTAAAGGGGGTGTCCTAATTTGTGTTATATGTGAGATGTGATAGAGTTCATCTTTGAAACATTCATTCCATTAAAGAGAAAATAGTAGTGCCAAGAAGCTGATGGTCATTGTCATTTAATTCCAATTTGAAACTGAAGACATTTCAGTATATTACATAAGAATTGATTTTTTTATTTAAAAAAAGGAAAGTTGATAATTCACCTCATTTCAACCAAGGGCCTTTGAAAAATGGGTTTTCACTGGATATCACTATAGTACTTAGATAAAAACCAAAACAATATCAAAATGACATATATGCTCTAGGCTATTGTAGTTGTCTGATGTTGTACTTAGTCAATGTGTGCATCATAAAACACTGTATTCCTAGTTACCATAGAAAAAAATTTGTTCAAATAAAGATACAGATATGTTTCTTTGTCTTTCTATGAGTATACAAACAGGACACTAAAATTTAGAGGAGATCTGGCCAATTACAGATTCATGAGAATGAATCTGTAATGAATTCTAGTCAATTACTCTTACTCATGGGAAGTGTTCAAATGAGACTCTACTAGTGAGTTTCACTACAAATGTGAGGGATCATAGCCAAATAATTCATCATCAAGAGTCCAACCTATTGGTGATAAGCTTTTCCTTGCTAAGCTAGGCTGATATTCAGAAAACAGTCTATTTCTAGGACTATACTTGAAGCTTTGCCTTAATGGTAGGATATGTCAGCTTATACTCCCTTAAAATGTACCATAGAGCCCAGGATCACTTCCATGCCGTAGTCATTGGAGAAGGACTTCATGGAGGGATGTATATGTGTGTTGTGAATAAAGGATAACATAACCAAATATTCTGACACAATCTTATGAGGGGAAGAGCAACATAGTTTCTGCCAGGGAAATCAAACCTGTTTATTTTATTGGCATTCTTTGAATGATATACATGTAAATAAGGGAACTGATAGACATCTATTTAGACTTTTAAGAAGCCTTTGATAAAGTCCTTTAGCATAGGCAATGAAAAAATTTTGAGTGACTAGAATTGAGGGTGAGGAGGGGAGGGATACCTTTTTTTCTTACCATGAGACAACTGACAAGAATCTAAGCCTGGGGGGAAATGGGTATTTTTCTGGAATTGACAGTAGTCATTCTCAGAGCTGATTACTAGGGCATTTAATAAATGATTGACTCTTGTTTGTATAAATTTGACTTAGTTCCCTATATATTTGAGAAATGAGGCCTTTATCAGAGAAATTTGCTATAAATTCCCCCCCACCAAGTTTCCTGCTTTCTTTCTCATCTTGGTTGCATTGGTTTTGTTTGTGCAAAAACTTTGCATTCAAGATGAGAAGGAAAGTAGGAAACTAGGAAAGGATTTTTACCACAAGTTTCTCTGATAAAGGTCTCATTTATCAAATATAGAGAAAACTGAATTAAATTTATAAAAATAAAACCCATTCCCCAGTTAATAAATGCTCAAAGGATATTAACAGGCAGGTTTCAGGTGAAGAAATCAAAGTTATCTATAGTCATATGAATAATTCACTACTGAATAGAGAAATACAAATTAAAACAACTCTGAGGTATCCTTTCTGACCTATCAAATTGGCTAACATGACAGAAAAGCAAAAATGCCAAATGTTGGAGAGAATGTGGAAAAATTGGGACATTTGCACTGTTGGTGGAATTGTGAACTGGTCCAGTCATTCCAGAGAGCAATTTGGAACCATGCCCAAAGGGATATAGATCCATATATACCCTTTGACCCAGCAATACCACTACTATGTCTGTATCCCAAATGGATCCAGGAAAAAGGACCTATATGTACAAAAATATTTATAGCAGCTCTTTTTGTGGTGGCAAAAAATTGGAAATTGAGAGGATGCCCATCAATTGGGGAATGGCCAAACAAGTTGTGGTACATGAATGTGATGAATACTAGTGGGCTATAAGAAATAACAAACAGAATGCTTTCAGAAAAATCTGAGAAGGCTTACATGATCTGATGCAGAGTGAGGTGAGCAGAATATTGTGCATAGTCACAGCAGTTTTGTACAATGATCAACTGTGAGTGACTTGGCTATTCTGAAGAGTGCAGTGATCCAAGACAATTCCGAAAGACTTATGATGAAAAATGCTGTCCATCTCTAGAGAGAGAACTGATAGAGTCTGAGAACAGATTGAAGCATAATTTTTTCACTTTATTTTTCTTGCTCCCCCCCGCCCCCACTGCAACATGGCTAATATGGAAATGTTTTGCGTGATTTCACATGTGTCATTGCTATCACATTTCTTGCTTTCTCAGTAGGTGGGGGAGATGCAGGGGGAAGGGAGAGATTCAGAACTCAAACATTTTTTTTAAATGAATGTTAAAAATAAAGAAATAATTTGTTTTTTAAAAATTAAAAAGTTTAAAAAAATAAGTGATTGAGAAGAGAGTTAATAGGGAAAAACTACAAGTCTGGAAAAAAGCTGAATCAATGCTAATAGAGTACATTATGAAGTCACTAGTTTGAATAGACAAAAATGTGGCTGGTGATAGGTATAGATCTCCATCCTCCAAGTTTAGTGTGAGATGTTTCCATATAATCATAAATATGCAAATATAAGCCCCCACTAGTAATTATCAGTAGATAAGGATCCTAGCCTAATGAATTAATCCTAAACTTAATTGGGGTCAAATAACAAGGAATAAAAGGGGAAGGGGGTGGAATCCTCTCATAAAACAAAGGATTACAATCTTCTAGTTTCCCACCACCCTCGCTGGGACTTCTCTCCCAACTATCTTGTAGCAAATTTTGCTGCTCCCCTCCCTTAAAGGTTATATTTC